GCTGGACCCAAAATCAGCCTTTGATGTAGTTATACATTCCCATCTTATGAAGCGGCTCTATCATGCAGGAATCGATGATAAACACTGGATAATCATTCAGAGTATGCACACAAATGCAACAAGTGCAGTTAAATGGAATGGCAAAACTTCCGAGCTATTTAGTGTACTACAAGGAGTACGCCAGGGAGGGGTCCTAAGTACCGACCTATACAAGCTTTACATCAATCCACTACTCAACATGCTGGAAACATCGAATTTAGGATGTAGGATTGGAAATATACTCTGCAATACTAGGGCATGTGCAGATGATGTCGCACTCATGAGCAAAAAGACAACCGATATGCAAGTACAAATCAATATGGCAAACACTTTTGCCGGCATGGAGGGATATAAACTACAGCCAAAAAAAGCGTGGCTATAAACATCAAAACTAAGCCAACAAGGAAAGAAACGCTATTGGAAGAATATACAATGAATGAAGCTACTATGCCAAGAGTTGACTTAGCTATGCATTTAGGAATAATCAGAACCAACTCTATGAAGCAAAATATCATAGCAAATATTGAGGAGAATATAAAAAAAATCAAGGAGAAATGCTTATGCTCTACCTGGCAGTGGCTTCCATGGTGAAAATGGACTGGATATGGAAACAATAATACACCTGTATAAAATCTACATCTTGCCAGTGTTATTAAATGGAATGGATCTATTAACACCACGATCTCTTAATCTGGAGAAATTGGAAAAATTTCAAAAGAAAATGATTAAGCAACTAATGTCACTACCATTTAACACACCAGATCCCGCAATTAACATATTGACGGGAATACTACCAGTTGAGGCACAAATACACTTAAAGGTTATGACCCTCTTCATAAATGTATGTACCCAACCCAACGAAAGCTTAGAAAAACAACTAGCAAGGAGGCAATTGTGCATCAAGTCAATGAATAGTAACAGCTGGTTTATTGAAGTAAAAACAATCATGCTAAAATACGATCCAGGAAATGCAATTGAGTGGCTAGATATTCAGATGAAAAAGGAAGAACTGCTAAGCAAAACCAGAAAAGGGATCAATGCCTACTGGATTGAGCGAATCTCGTCCCTAGCTAAGCTCTTTACCGGCCTTCGATACCTTAACAGTGATATATTCATGCCAGGGACGAAAATACATCCAATATTGCGAATCAAGCACCAATCTCCAAGAGACAGCAAGAGAGTACCTACCAAGATCAAACTATTAACTGGAACTTATATACTGTCTACAACCTCTAAGATATAAGATATACAAAGAAGGCACTGAAGATCATTATATAGCGTGCGATTGTAAAGAAGAAACATTACAACATTTGCTTATACAATGTGAAGCTTGGAATTACCTGCGAGATCCAATTCTACAAACAACTTAAAAACTGAAAACTTCCCATGTAAAAAGTCATAAAAACTTTAAAAGTTCCTATGTAAATAGTGTATATAATGTTGTGGTGTTATGATTGGTAATTTTCATTATTTTTTGGTGGTGGAACTGTTCGACATACGAAAGTTTGGTTACCCTATTAAGGGTGTAAAGATCCAGAGAAGAAGATAGCAAGTTGTGTAAACAACATATGTCTAGGTTACCGGACTAATTAAGGGTTTTTGTTCTGTTCAGCAAAGATTGTTTTAGAAAATCAGAACAATGTAGAAAATTTAAATGTTATATTAAACTCACCTATTACAGAAGTGGAAATTGAAAAAGCTTTGAGAAAATTGAAAAACAATAAATCATCGGGTGATGACATGATTGAAAATGAATATTTGGAACACTCATGTAGTTTTAATATCATATTTGACAGTGAAATTATTCCTTATGTTTGGCTGTCTGGAAATATAATACCCTTAAATAAGAATAAAGGAGACAAACAAGATCCTAGAAATTTCAGACCTATAACAGTTATAAGCTGCTTTGGGAAATTATTCACTTCTATTTTGAATTCACGATTGAAAAATTTTCTGACGATTTTTGTTTATTATGTCAAAATCAAGCTGGTTTCAGAGAAGGTTTTTCAACTACAGATAACTTATTTGTTATTTACATGCTTATAAGTATCAAGAAAATAAGAAAAAGAAATTATTCTGTAAATTCGTTGATTTTGCTAAAGCCTTTGATACTGTGTGGAGAAAGGGTCTTTGGCATAAATTACTTATAAATGATATTAACGGTAAAATGCATAACGTAATTTTTAATATGTACACTGGTATTAAATCTCGTGTTGTATATAATGGTGAAATGTCAGAATACTTTTCATGCAATATTGGTGTAAGACAGGGTGAAAATATGTCTCCATTTTTATTCTCATTATTTTTTAACGATCTTCAGCAGTATATTGAAGATAGAAATATATGTGGTTTAAATTGTATTACTGATGAAAAAGAGGATGATTTTGATATCTACTTAAAACTTTTTGTGTTATTGTACGTAGATGATACAGTGCTATTTTCTGATAATGCTTCTGATCTACAGTTGCAATTAGATATATTCCACGATTATTGCAGTACATGGAAATTGAAAGTAAACACTAATAAAACTAAAATCATAATTTTTCTGGTGGTAGATTACCCAATAATATTAATTTTATATATCATGGTAATGCATTGGAGATAGTTAACGAATTGACTTACCTCGGGTTGAATTTTTCAAGAACAGGTAGCTTTAGTAGTGCTAAGAAAATTTTAGTTCGAAAAGCAAATAAAGCAATGTACGAAGTATTGAAAAAAGGGGAGGTTGCACACTTGTACTTGTCAGAGTAATCGCAGTATGATCTCTTTGATAAAATTCTGAAGTCAATCTTGCTATATTGATGCGAGATTTTTTTGTTTCAGTAATACTGATATTATAGAAAGAGTGCATTTGAAATTTGCAAACTACTATTTAATCTTAAGGATGTACACCTCTGAGGAGCCAAAATTTCTAGAATTAAACTTTTTATCTTACCTGATTTTTGGGTTTATATGACTGTAAAAAAATAATTGGCGAAGAAAAAATCATATGGTGGTGCACTTCTTTTTTTGCTACAGCCATTTGAAAGTACCCAATTTTGATGATTTTCCCATTTTTCATCAATTTTTACCCATTTTTGGGCTATTATCATGAAAAAAATCAGTTTCACAATTAAACTGTTTTTCATACTTTCACTAAAGATGAAGTGGACCAATCTGAATAAATTTAACTTAAAAAAACTATGGGTATGTGTTAATATAAGAAAGTTTTATAAAATTTTGTTGTTTTTTTTCGTGTCAAATTTACCATGTTGTTAATTATGTAAATTTGGGATTTTTCTCTTTCTTTAGAACAAAAAGCATATTATTTCAACTTCTTTGTTATAAATGATTGAAAAAATACATATCTAAGAAATTTGAAAAGAAAAAAATTGATATGGGATATACATGTATCTGGTAAAATCATTGCTTGTACCCCTCGCCCATTTTCTCAACATTTTGGCTAATGAGACTGACTTGATTGGTTATAAAGTTTGAAAATTTTATTACTCAAAAACTACTTATTGTAAATACACAATGTTTTCACAGAGTTGAGTTTGATTATGATATTTTTAAAATTCATTGATATTTTCCACTTGTATCACATGTTTTGGAAATAATTCCAAGACGAGATTTCAACGAGACTGAAACATCAGAAGAATACATCCTTAAGAAGTCGACACCTAATTTTATGATATATGGTGAACTGGGTTTTTATCCCATGTCCTTATATATACAGCTGCGTATGGTCAATTTTTTTGTCAAAAATTGTAAGTTGGGATGATAACAGGATAGCTAAAATAATATACAGATACATGTTCTTGAAGAATTCTGAAAACCAATTTAGGTCAGATTGGTTGAAATACGTTAAAGATACATTAGATAGATGTGGATATAGCAATATATGGTTGTCACAAGGACATTTTAATTCTAAATGGTGGGGTATTAGTTTAAAACAAAAGTTATTTGATCAGTTTCAACAGAAATGGAGATCAGATATTGACTGTTCATAAAAATGTTTAGCTTTCAAATTATTTAAACAAAATTTTGAATATGAAGAATATCTGAATATTTTAAATGATAAAAATAGAATAACATATTGTAGATTTAGAACGGGAAACCACAAGTTACCCATAGAAACTGGTAGATGGAATAAAATTGAACGTAACTATAGATATTGTAATTTATGTCAATGTAACGAGATTGGTGATGAATTTCATTACATTTTGCAGTGTAGCTCTTTGACAAATTTTCGAGCACAATATTTGGATACTTTTTTCTTGCACAGAATAAATATACTAAAGTTTGGAAAACTATTTCAGTTACAATACAAAAATAAATTTAAAAAGCTGTGCATATTTATCAGGGTTATAACTTTTCAAGTGAGTCTTCCTGTTTAATCACCACTCTTCGTCACTACTGTTTATTTTATTTATTTTTTTAATTTTTTGTTCATATCATCTTTTCATGTGTGTTTATGTTATGTTATAACTTTTGATGAACTTCTTTGTACCATTGTAACTTTATGGTGTTTGAGAAATAAAGAATCTGAAAATCTGAAATCTGAAATCTGCTAAAGTTTTAAAAGTTCTTTGCCACTCCACTTTTTTACCGAAAAAATATCAGGGTAACTAAGATGGCTTGATTGTTTATCAAATTTGATTGGTCGAACCTGAAACAGTAACGCGAAATTGTAAAAGGAAATTTTGGTCTCAAAATTGGCACTTTTATATGCGCTTTAAAGAAAAAAAGACCTTAAAACAATTTTACTTTTAGTTATTACTGTTTTCAGGCCCTTGGTTATCCCCCTTTTGACCGCAAGGTGTGCTGTTGGTTAAGTCAAAGCCTAGCAGTAATACTACAGTCCACATAACCCAGAAAATCAAGTCCGACAACTAGACCCAACAATTCAATTCCGATACTATGTCAAACTAGTAAAAGCAGCATTAGTACTGTGGGAAGCATGCTACTACTGTTCTTACCTGTAGAATCGTCTCCTAAGTCCTTACCAAAAGGAAACAGGTACCCATTCGAAATTCCTTCTATGTCATCGGCTTTTATTGCTGTTGCTATAGACGTCTGTAGAATTCTGGATATAAGCAAAATGGCAAACTGAAAGAAAATTACTTTTGTAAGAAATTTGAGGTTTTTATACCCATTTGTCACACCTATCCACCCTTGTTAAAATAGATGGGCAACATGATTGATAAATAAAGAATACCTAGTTAAAGATAATTAGGAATGACTTTTGTTAAATGATCTCCAACTTCAAAGCTTATATGTCTTATATATTGTCCTCAAAGTCAAATGATACTTAAAATTTAAAAAGTTAGATATGTTGCAAATACATGTATGGCGGAGTTTGTATAAAACAATTGCACATAGACTTTCTTCAAAGAAAATCATTTATCATATCGAAATCTTCAGAAATGTATTGCTGCTGAATTATTGTCTTCCCGTACCCTAATTCACCGATAGCTTTTCCGTACGCCGTGACACTCACCACAAGACTTCTCGTTAGACAACCGCACAGCGCAAGTGCGAGAAAAACCGTGACGAGAAAAGGGAAACAAAAGTGGAAGTTACATAGTGTTAATTATTATGAAAGAAAATTTGAATACACTATTTATACTAAAATGGGGTGTTTAACGACATTGACTTCTCACGAGGGTTGCACGGTCGGTTTAATACACCAAATCACTTAAAAACTGTTATGACAAAGTTAGATAAACAATAGAAACGTCATGGAAAACATTACAGTCGTTTCACATGACTTTAATAACTGGTAATTGTCTGTCAATCAACAACTTTTAAAACTGAGTGTTTAAAAAAAAATGGATCCCATTATTTTACTGTACATACTTTTTTCTTTGTCAGTTTTTTTTTCTCCTTCAGTTATTTGGCTGATTTTAAAGTTTAATGGTGATTGAAATACAAAAATAAATGACCTTCATTTTAAGATAGAACCTCATTCGCCATAACTTGTCTTCATGAAGGTCAATAAAAAGTAAAATAACAAAAATACCGAACTCCAAGGAAAATTCAAATCGGAAAGTCCCTTATCAAATGGCAAAATCAAAAGCTCAAACACATCAAACGAATGGAAAACAACTGTCATGTTCCTGACTTGGTACAGGCATTTCCTTATGTAGAAAATGGTGGATTAAACCTGGTTTTATAGCTATCAAAACTTGTATGACAGTCGCATAAAATTCCATTATATTGACAACAATGTGTGAACAAAACAAACAGATATAATGTCAAAAATAGGGGTACAGCAGTCAACATTGTGTTATAATCTTAATCACTATAAAAACAAACAAATATGTCAACAAAGAAAAACAAAATGGCATATAGATAAAGCAAATAAACAAAAATGAAAGACAAGAATACAAAAATTGACCACAGCACAACAACACATTGGCGGGATGCATAAGTACCCAACCATGCCAAAAGGGTATTACCAAAAATGGACTAAACACTTAAAACAGTAAAGGTTAATAATTTACAAAGACAAATAAAAGAACACTATAACACGTAATTCAGATGATAAACAACGTCAGTACCTAGAATCTATATAAATTTATCCATCAAAAACTTTTTCACTTGTACTTTAAAATTAAATTTTTTAGAGCAGCTTTTGATCATGTTTGGTAACGAATTCCAGTCTTTTATTCCATTATAAAAGAAAATGGTGGATTCACACCCTTTAATTCCTGGTATATAAAAGTTTTTACTACTAGATCTTGTATTGAAAGATGTTTCATTTCTAACAAAATTAGTATATAAATAATTTGGGCATATATTGTTAAAAATGTTGAAAACATGATTGAGTCTTAGTTGTTTGACTCTATTACTAATATTCAAAAAGCCCAATTTCTTAAATTCAATATATGTCACACTCTTTCTAGGATGTAATTGCAGAATAAATCTCACAATCTTATTTTGTGCCACTTGAAGTTTATTCTGCATTTGTTTTGATATACCTTCATACCAGCATGCACATGCATAGTCAAAATGACATTGAATAAGAGAAGAGCACAATGTTTTCCTAGATTGAAAATTTAGACACTCTTTGTTTCTATATAAAAAATTAAGCCTTTGATTGACTTTTTTCACTATAGAGTTGACAATAAAATCACCAGTTAGAAACTGATCAATTATTATTCCCATATATTTTACAAAAGTTTTGGATTCAATATTAATACCATAACAGAAGATAGCAAAATCACCCGGTATTAAAGACCGAAGTTTTCAAACAGGACCAAAAATTATACTCTCCGTCTTTCCCAAATGTAGGAACAATTTATTGTCAGTTAACCAATCATGGCATGATTCCAGCATTCTGGATAGTTTATGCGAGATGACCCCAGGGTCTATATGGGAAAATACAATTGCAGTATCATCTGCATATATCAAAACTTTACAATCTGAGTCGATGCTAGTTTGAACATCATTGACATAGATCAAAAACAATAGTGGACCCAGTAAGCTTCCTTGAGGGACACCACATGTAATATTACATACTTCTGAAATCACCCCATTTACACTTACAACCTGTTTTCTGTTTTTGTCAAATATGACTCAAACCAAGGTATAGCTCTAATCCCAATTACTTCTAATTTGTCACATACTATCTTGTGATCTACTGTGTCAAACGCCTTCTGTAGGTCTAATAGGACCCTGCCTGTAAAAAGACCTTTGGCTGTTTGAGTTTTAATGTGATCTATCAAGTGGATGAGACAAGAATCAGTTGAATATGAACTTCTAAATCCTGATTGAAACTCAAATAATAAATTATTTGAAATCAAAATTTTTTTTCCGTATTTTACTTATAAATGGACTTAGTTTTTCTGCCGGGAAATATTACATTCACTCTGTGGTTAAAGTTTTTAAAGTTTTAATAAATTTCTTAAACTATCCTTGGTTTGTACCAAACTTGGACAGAAGCTTGTTTATGATCATAAGATAGTATCTAGAAAGAAATTTTGTAAAAAAATAAATCTATTTTTTCCTTATTTTACTTTAAAATGGACTTAGATTTTCTGCCAGGAAACAACACATTCACTCTGTGGTTAAAGTTTTTAATAACTTTCTTATACTATTTTGGATTTCTACCAAACTTGGACAGAAGCTTGTTTATGATCATAAGATAGTATCAAGAAGTAAATTTTGTAAAAATAAAATTCCATTTTTTCCGTATTTTACTTATAAATGGACTTAGTTTTTCTGCCGGGAAATATTACATTCACTCTGTGGTTAAAGTTTTTAAAGTTTTAATAAATTTCTTAAACTATCCTGGGTTTGTACCAAACTTGGACAGAAGCTTGTTTATGATCATAAGATAGTATCTAGAAGGAAATTTTGTAAAAAAATAAATCTATTTTTTCCTTATTTTACTTTAAAATGGACTTAGATTTTCTGCCAGGAAACAACACATTCACTCTGTGGTTAAAGTTTTTAATAACTTTCTTATACTATTTTGGATTTGTACCAAACTTGGACAGAAACTTGTTTATGATCAAAAGCTAGTATCTAGAAGGAAATTTTGTAAAAAAAATAAATCCATTTTTTCCGTATTTTACTTTTAAATGGACTTAGATTTTCTGCCAGGAAACAACATATTCACTCTGTGGTTAAAGTTTTTAAAATTTTAATAACTTTCTTATACTATTTTGGATTTGTACCAAACTTGGACAGAAACTTGTTTATGATCAAAAGCTAGTATCTAGAAGGAAATTTTGTAAAAAAATAAATCCATTTTTTCCGTATTTTACTTTTAAATGGACTTAGATTTTTTGCCAGGAAACAACATATTCACTCTGTGGTTAAAGTTTTTAAAATTTTAATAACTTTCTTATACTATTTTGGATTTGTACCAAACTTGGACAGAAACTTGTTTATGATCAAATGCTAGTATCTAAAAGGAAATTTTGTTTTCTTCCAGTTAACATTACATTCAGTCTGCAGTTAAAGTTTTTAAACATTTATTAGATTCATAAACTATCCTGGATTTTTACCAAACTTGGACAGAAGCTTCCTTCAATCAAAAGATAGTATCAAGAGGAATATTTTTATTGATTTACTTCCTCATTTTTGTTGAGCCTGCGATTAACAGAAAAAGTAGGCGAGACACTGGGTTCCGCGGAACCCTTACGAATTTTTCTTAAATAAGGGCTTGACCTTAGCCATTTTCAGATCGTCAGGTACCGTACCTTCAGAGATAGATAAATTTATCAAGAAAGTAATGGGTATTTTCAGAATTAGGGCTGCATCCTTAAGAAATCTTGCTGGAATACCATCTAGGCCTATGCTCTTACTTATATTTAAACTGCATAGTTCTTTATACACAAATTCCTCTGTTACATGTTTTAGGTTAAAAAAATTATCTGATTTCCTTCTCTGAACATAAAAGGATCTAACAATATTTGTAGTGGCACTATATAAACCCTTTGCAGTTGGTAGTTTTTTCTACCAGTTTTGCAGCTATAGTTGTAAAAAACATGTAAAAATTATTTGATATGTTTTTGTTATCGTGACAGTTTTGCCAATCAATATTTAATACTATATAAGAATTTGATTTAAGATCTTTTTGATATCCAAATTTTCAAAACTTTTCCAAAGTTGTCTTGGATTATTTCCATTTTCTTCATTTTCACTTTTGTAATAGTCAGATTTTGCAGTTTTGCATGATCTTTGAACATGATTTCTAAACTTTTTGAAATCTTCAGGATTTTTAGAAATCTTAAAATCCGATAAAAATTTGTCTCTCTGCTAAATATCTATCAAATTTCAGCTGACATCCATGGTTCTGTTCTTTGTTTAATACAAACTTATTTAAGAGGGGCAACACTGTCAAGAATATCCATAAAAATTTCTTTAAATAATTACCAGGCCTCATTTATGTCTGAGGCACTGAAACACTTTTCCCATTTTGCTTTAGTAAGCTTAGCTATAAATTCATCTTTATTATAAGATTTCACAGATCTGACTTTAACATTACTGTGCTTATTATATACAGATTTTGCTAATTGTCTAGTACAATATACCATAGAATGATCACTAAAATCAATATTTAGTACACCAGACTGAGAGATTTTCTCAGTATTATT